TAATGGCTATGTCGCTGGACTCCCACGTAGTGGACCGCGGTTCACGTCCTGGACCCGGTGGCTTAGAACTCACACCGGGCGCGTGTGCGTGCGTGCCCAAGATCCCGAGAGGAGAATGGAGGAGAAGGGATTGTGGCGTGACCATCCCCCTGGGGGGTGATTTCTCGCTTTCTGTCTCTATGTCTCTCTCTGTCTGTCTGGCGAGCGCACGCGCCCTATAGCAAAAACCTCTCCAAAAAAAAAAAAAAGTGGGAAGATGTGTGTAAGTTATATGTACATACTACTCTATTTTATATAAGTAACTGCTTCTCAGGACCAGCAGTTGGTGTTGTGGCTATGTTGCTGGACTCCCATGTGGCCGACCATGGTTCGAGTCCCAGACCTGGTGGCTTAAACTCATGCCAGGCGCATGTGCATGCGTGCCCAAGATCCCGAGAGGAGAATGGAGGAGAAGGGATTGTGACGTGACCATCCCCCCTGGGGGGTGATTTCTCACTTTCTGTCTCTCTGTCTCTCTCTCTCTCTTTCTGGTGAGCACATGTGCACCCTACAGCAAAAATCTCTCCAAAAAAAAAAAAGTAACTGCTTCTCAACCTTTTGGCTAAAATCAAGTGTAGTATTTTATATAATGCACTTGAACATCCACAGATTCTGGTATCCATAGTGGCGAAGGGTCCTGCAACCAATCTTCCACAGATACAGAGGGATGACTATGTAATAATGTCTGCCGACCTACATCATATTGCTTTGTGAAAATCAAGCCAGGTCATACTTGCATGCCATCTTAAAAAGTATTGACTAAAGTCCCAAATATGAAATGTCATTGGATCTAAAAAGAGAGATCGTCCATTGCAGGTGTGTCTGACTCCTTCAGTCCAACGTACAGAACATCTAACATGTTCAAAGGACACGAAAAGATGTTAGTATCGAGAGTGAGCACTCTCAGGCACAGTGCTACATATGTCATCCCATTCTATCACCCCATAGGCCTATAGAGTGACTATTTTCATTCGCATATCGTAAGTAAAGAACTGAAACACAGGGAGTTCACTTGCTGTGAGGGCAGAACTGGAGTTCATTCCCAGGCCTGATGTCCCAGAAGCTGTGCTATCCTCAGCCCATTTCCCAAGTCTCCACAATGGGCCCTGTGGTTACAGTCCTCAAGGAACTCACACTCCATGCCAGAGAACAGATTTACAAGCAACTCACTCGCCGCAAGGCAGAATCAAGTGAGTTTGTAGTAGAGGCCTAAGCTACATGATGCAGGAGTGTTCAAAGAAGCAGTTAATTCAAGCCTAGGAAATTGAGGAGGACTTTCGTAGATAATCCCAATTTGCATTGACCTTTGAGAAATTAGTAGAAATGGATCAACAGAGATGGGAAGAAAAAGATATGGCAAGTGGAGAGCCTCCTGGCACAAAAAGGAAGAGATGGGGATGTCAAGAACTTGTAGAGGGACCAGCAGTTAGTATAATGGCTATGTCACTGGACTCCCATGTAGTCGACCATGGTTCAAGTCCCAGACCCGGTGACTTAAACTCACGCCAGGCGTGTGTGCGTGCGTGCCCAAGATCCCAAGAGGAGAATGGAGGAGAAGGGATTGTGGCGTGACCATCCCCCCTGGGGGGTGATTTCTCGCTTTCTGTCTCTCTGTCTCTCTCTGTCTTTTTGGCGAGCACACGCGCCAAAAAGCAAAACGCTCTCCAAATAAAAAGAAGAAGAAGAAGGAGAAGAAGGAGAAGAAGGAGAAGAAGAAAGAACTTGTAAAGACAGGGAGTAGCCCACTGTGAGTGGACTGTGAAGAGCTTCATGGGGGGAGTCGGAGCTGAAAGGCAGGTCAGGGCCAGACCAGAGAAGGCCTTGCATGCCAGAATAGAGCCAGAACACTCCCTTTCAGGCAACAAAGAATCACTGATGTCTGAGGGGGGGTGTCATGCACCCGACCGTGTACTCCAGCATGAAGAGCGGGCAAGAGAAAAGGCAGCCAGCTCCGGCTATGGCGAAATCACCCAGACTACAGCTGGTGAGGGCCTGTATGGAAAGCAGTGAGCAGACCATGCTGGAAAGGGAAGCTCCCCAAGGACCGCCAGCCAGATGTGGGGATGTCAGCTTGCTCTCTGAAATCAAAGCAACCAGTGACAAGCCTGTTCAGAGAGTCTATTTACAAAATTGGCTACCGTTCTCATCTCCGACCTTCTACTCAGATTACCTTAATTCTGCTTTTGCTTTCAGTTAAGGAGCTGAGTTTGGGAGTGAGTTATATGCATGTCGTGTGTATCGTAATTAAGATAAAATGATGGGGAAGGCCCCGGAGCCTCCCTCAACACACACAGGGTTGTAGCTCTGGTGGTCTCCCTCATTTCAAATCAAAATCCCACCAGCACACATAAAAAATAGATCCTAGGGTTGTAGGCTTCTCGGCCTGTGGGTAATGAATATGGCTGTTTCCTGGCTGATGTGCTGGAGGGGAACTGGTTGAGCTGGCTAGCAGACAACCGTGGTAAATAATAAGACTCCTAAGGAAAACTCTGCTAGCAAATTTCCCGGGAGCTCAGAGGCAAAGGGCAAGACAGTAAGCAGTGATGGAAAGTGTTTGTATAACCCTCCTCTACCCTCTCACCCCAACGCACATCGAGGTTTCTCTTTCATGATTGTTTTAGCCTCTTTTTCCCTTTCAACCACCGACCACTCAATTCTTTGAGGGAAAATTAACATTCATTATGCAATTTATCTCTCTCCTTTTAATCCAGAGTGTCTGTCTCCAAGGTCCCTACTCAATAATTAATGTTTGTTCTCATTTCCCATTCTCCAGAGCATCCATTCTTGAACTGGAGGGTCAACAATTAACACTAATTACGGCTTTTTCTCTCTCCGGTGTTGGCTCTCAGAATCCCTAGTTGCCCGCTCCGCCTGAGTTATCGGCGAGCATGTGGCTGCGTGTGTGCAGCTGAGATGGAAGAGCACCAAGAGGCAGGCTTTTCCAAGCCCCACCGCAGTGGAGTGAATCAATAAAACCCAAACATTCTTCTTTGGCAACCTCTCTGGTGGATTCGTTATCAGTAATGAGACAATAAAGCAAAAATAAATTAATTAATTAAAGTATTTGGAAATAATGAGTTTGGGTGGGTAGAGCAGACGATCTCTAAGTCTTTAGCCATTTGAATGTTTTAGAATTCCCTGTGACTTTTCCTTCCCTTTTCTCTACTCTCATGCCTCTCTCTCCCCCTCTTTCTCAAACACACACACTCTCTCTCTCTCTCTCACACACATACACACACACACACATTCACACTCATACCAAATTTCCCTTTAAAAACCATTTTCTTTTTCTTTTCTTTTTAGAGAGACTTTTGCTATAGGGCACATGTACAGAGAAACAGAAAGTGAGAAATCACCCCCTAGGGGGGGATGGCCATGCCACAGTCCCTTCTCTGTTCTCCTCTCAAGATTTTGGGCATGTACACACACATGCTCAGTGTGAGTTTTTAAGCCACCAGGTCCAGGACTTGAACTGCAGTTGACTATGTGGGAGTCTAGCGACGTAATGATTGCTCCAGTTTGCTGGCCCCTCAATTTCCCTTTAAAAATCATTCTCCTGGGGCGGTGGGTGGTGTGATGGTTAAGGCACTGGATTCCCAAGTCCTGGATTTGGTGGCTTGCTTTCTCACTTTCCCTCTCTCTCTCTTTCTGTCTCTCTCTGGTGAGCACATGTACCCTGTAGCAAATTAAGTAATGATAATGATTAATAAAATTAAATAAATAATGCCTTAAAAATGTTTTCCCTTCATTTAGGAGCCACTTAGCTGACTTTGCTACTCAGTGCCTCTCCCTTAGCTGTCTTTCTCAGGTCTGGTATCCTCATTCCCTTCACCATCAAAATAGCAATGTTTTAACTAGTTTTCATTTTTACTAACAAGGACGGCTAGGAAAATATTCTCGCCCAAGGTGACTCTAACAGATCGCAAACAAATTCACTGGGGGCTGTGAAAAAGCCTGTCTGTCGCTGGCCAGAATCAGATGGGCTGGAACCCGCTCTGCCTTCCCTGGTCCAGCCCTTGTATTTGAGCTACAGCTGGAGATGCGGCTCCTCATGCGCACCTGTCATCCCTGAGCTGGTGCACCGAGGCCCCGTGCGGGACAACTGCTGTTTGAATCTGGACATCAGCTCACGGCATGTGTCAGACATGAACTGTTTTAAGCTCTTGCTCTGTCAGAAGTCCTCCCCTCAGTGCCCAGTCTGGTGGTGCAGTTGGTAGCAAACTGAGCAGCAGTGTTGGAAGCCACATGGCTGACCACAGGCTCAGATCCCCAGGTGGGCCTGAAAACATGCCAGGATATGAATGTGTGCCGAAGACCCTGACAGGCCAGGGGGCTACAGGAAGGGGTTTCTGACATGACAAGATCTTGTCATGGGTATTTCTTCGCCTCCCCACCCCCTACCCCCCATGCATGTGCTCTTTATCATGAATAAAAATAAAATAGCTTTAAAACAAAAGTTCTCTCTGAATTTTAGCATCAGGGTCCTGCAGGGCTTCGCCTTTGAACATTTTGGATGTAAACATTCTTTTCCTCAGTGCTTTTTCTCTCCATAATGGCAACTATAGATTTTCAAAACCATCCGATTCATCATGAGACTTAAGCATCAAAGCATCCTCTTCATGTTTTCCTCTGTCTTGGGGTAAGGAAATGGCTTTTAAGAATTTTCCACAGGACCAGCAGATGGCATAATGGTTATGTTGCTGGACTCCCATGTAGTCGACCGTGGTTCGAATCCCAGAACTGTGTGTGTGTGCCCAAGATCCCAAGAGGAGAATGGAGAAGGGATTACAGTGTGGCCATCCCCCCTAGGGGGGTGATTTCTCCCTTTCTGTCTCTCTCTCTCTGTCTTTTTGGCAAGCACACACGCCCTATAGCAGGGGGGAAGGGGAGAACTCTCCAAAGAAGAGGGAAAAAGAAAGAATTTTCCACATTCTCATGTAAAATCCCTTATTATTTTTCAGCTGTCAATTCAAATATCAGCCATGAAGAGGAAGAGTCTAGTATTCCGCATTTCCTAAAAGGTAAACTTTTTCCCTAAAAAGTCACCTTTATTTCTCCTCTATGTGATTTGACTCATGAGCATAATATTTCACCCTAAACCTCCAGAAGCACAAAACTTCCCCCCAGATACACCAATAAGTAGGGGAGAGGATACTTTTCGGAAAGCCCAAGAGACGTCCTGCCTTTCTGCATTACACGTGGCAGCTCTGTGTGCTGTGCTCTGGGCGTCCTTAGGGAAGAAGAGAAGCCAGGCTGAACCAAGCACTTGACTTTGCTGGCCCCACGGGGATCATTTGCAGGGACATCCTGTGGGTCCCACAGGTTATACTCTGCACACGTCCCATGATAATGAAGTGGACATTGCCCCCCCTGGAGCTGTGCATAGCTCACCCTGCACAATCATGAACTAGGAAACTATCTGGAAAAGACTCTCAGGCTTGTATTTTGTTTTTATTCTTTTTTTTCATTGCCAAACAGTGCAGAGAGTGACACAGAAAAAACATCCCCTAAAGGAGCCTGGTCATGCTGCAATCCTTTTCCTCCACTTCTCTATCCCATCAGCAGTTTAGGCGTGCATGCTCATGCACTTGGCATATTTTTTAAGCTACCAGGCCAGGATTTGGACTGCCGTCAGCTCCATGGGATCCAGATCCCCATGCCCAGGACTTACCTGCTACACTATGGGATCAAATTAGGCTTATATTTTAAATGAGAGGCTGAGATTAGTTCTACCTCTTCCAAGATGCTGTTTGTATTTCATGTCCTCCATAAAGAGAGGTAAGAGAGGCAGACACTGAGAGTGTGGGTTGACTTAGCAACTCATCCACCCCTAGACACGGCTGCTTCTGCCTCAGCTCAGGGGAAAGGATGATACGTGGAGACTTTTCCTCTCCTACACATAGGAGAGGAAAATTGATTAGCAGGAAATGTGTGTGGTCCTCCTTGCTGCTTCGGAGCAGGCAGCAATGGACCCGCAGGAGGGACCTGCCTGCTGTAGTAACAGGAAGCGATACCTCAGGTGGAGAGCTGGAGCCGGGGACGTGCGGGAGGAATTGTTTTTGCCAAAGATTGCAAAAGTAGGAGAAAATGCACTATTAAATTCTTGCCAATTTCAAACATCTGGAAGCAAAGCAATACCCTAGAGTCTGGCCCACTGTGTTGCTCCCTTGCCAACTTCCTTGAGTGACATCTTGACCACATGGGAAGAGTCTCAGGGGCAGTTCTGCTCATCCCCACACACTGGTATAAACGGGGCCAGAATCGCTTTTTTTTTTTTTTTAATTTTAACAAAGAATTTTGCTATAGGTCATGTGTGCTCACCAGAAAGAGAGAGAAAGAGATACAGAAAGCAAGAAATCACCCCCCCCCCCAAGGGGGATGGCCATGCCGCAATCCCTTGTCCTCCATTCCTCT